TGTAACATTGCTGCATGTATCAATGCTACATTTATATTTGTTGTTTCTTTTTTTCCAGTGCAAAACAACTAGTGCCAGGTGAGCCCAATGTATCCTACATCTGCTCCAGGTACTACAGAGCACCAGAACTCATCTTTGGTGCTACAGACTACACATGCAATATAGGTAAGGATGACTCAAGTAAAGACACAAGACACAAGAGGGCGCTTTGCAACCCAACCATCAAGGTTAGAGCTGTTTATAGAGAGAATCCTGACACAAGTGTCTCAATTGTTGGAACCAAAATGGTGGATTGTGCATCGGTGCACATGGATAATGGCTGCCTGCTGTACTGCACACATAATAAACAGCGACTTTGGTTCCAAAGTCTGAAGTGACAATTACTCTCTCCATATGCAGCTCTGATCAGTCAAGGGAAGCATGTAGAATCCTTTAGTGCTTCACTGGCTCTGTGTTGTCTAAAGGAACAATGTCATTGTCGTTGGATAACTGTAACTAACTGGTTGGTTAACGAAGGCAGTTTGGTAGTTTTTCTTCAGGGTCATTGGACGAGGAAAACAAGCATGTGTAAGATCTCAAGTCCTTTTACAAGTCCAGTCACAAGTCCCTTCACAAGACCAGTCATAAGAAACACGGTGAACAATGCCAAAAGAATGTTTTTGTCACAGGTCATTTGAATAGCTTGTGAATTGGCTTAAAGGCTTTTTCACACGAGTGCTGATAACAGAGGTCCTATGCTATGAAATCACATCGATGTTACAATCGCAGTGATATCGTGTCTATCGCGTCGTGTGAAGGTCAACCTCTGTCAAAAAATTGCATGGATATAGCACAGGTCCCGAGCGATCGTTGTGGTGATTGAGACCTTCGCCAAAATTTGCATCAATGCGAAATCTGTGTAAAGATCACCGCGATCGGCCGTCTGAATGCAGAGTGTGCCATCGTCATAAGAGTCCTTTGAGTTCAATCTCATTGCGCATACGCACCCATTGGTTGACATCTTCAAAAAGAGCAGTTGGCTACTCCAAATTGTGATGTCGAAAAATGGAAGGTCTTCATGTCTTTCTTGCGATCAGGCTGCTAAGTCTAGCATGTAAGCTAGCAGAACGGAACGGAGTACAGACATGCACCATACTACATAAACTATTGAATTCTGCAAAGAATGCATTACCTGCAAACGCATAGCGGGCAAATCGTAGGTACCGTATGATTCTAACATTCAAAACATAGCAAAGTACCATCGATGCAATTTAACCTTTGACTGCAATTGCAAATCATGGTGAAACGAGGAACGTCAGGTGCACGATTGACATTGCACCATGTGAAAGCCCGCGAAGAAATCTCACACGTTGTAAGACACAGACACTGTGACGCTGACTGTCACAGATGTGCGGTTTCGGCACTCGTATGAAAAGGCCTTAAGACTTAACGACTTGTGATCGACTTGTGATGGACTTACAGGGACTTTTGACTGACTTTAATACGACACTGATGTTCAAAGTTGATTGGTTCAGTAAGGATTTTTTTGGCTTGAACTTGCTTTTTACCTATCAGTTCAACATACTTTATAAAGTCAGAAACATTATAAATGAACTGTTCTTATTTGATTGATTCCAGATGTATGGTCAGCTGGTTGTGTCCTTGCAGAGTTGCTTCTGGGTCAACCAATATTCCCTGGGGATAGCGGAGTAGATCAACTGGTCGAAATCATCAAGGTTCTAGGCACTCCATCACGTGACCAAATCCATGAAATGAACCCTAACTACACTGAGTTCAAATTCCCACAGATTAAACCTCACCCATGGAACAAGGTAGGCAGAAACCTGATGGATTGTAGAAGCCACGCCCTGTAACATGTATAACATAGACATAATATTACTTCTCAGCATTTTGAAGGCACTCACTGTCAAAAAGTATCTGTCATTCAGAGGCAAAGAAATATTATCACTGTGCCTGCTCATCAGGTTCAGACTTCTGAACATTCCTGAAACCATCTCAGCACCCTGGAGGACATTCTAATATGCAACAATGGGAGTCTTTGAGACGCTGGCGGTGGCAGGCAAATTTTGACGGTATTGAGCGTGCTCAGAAACTAAGCATACATGCTCAGAACAACATGCGCATGCTCAGAACAACATGCGCATGCTCAGAACAACATGCACATGCTCAGAACAACATGCGCATGCTCAGAACAACATGTGCATGCTCAGAACAACACGCGCATGCTCAGAACAACATGCGCATGCTCAGAACAACATGTGCATGCTCAGAACTGGTAAAGAGGACCAATATGTTTGCCATTACTGAACATCTCAAAGTCTCCTTTTACAGTTGCAAATGTTAAAACACAATCATCATATCTGCCTTTAGAGGTACCCCTGTACTGCTGCGGGGAAAGAAGCATTTGAGAGTAAAATGTCTTGCCCAAGGTCACAACATAGCACCATATGTAAGGACCCTTCCAACCTTATGATGGGAAGCTACAAACCCTAACTACTAGGCCACGAGGATAAAATGCCTTGTTTAGGAACACTGGCTCTGTAAGCTCACTTTGACTTATACATGTAGTTTGAACATATTTTTATCTTCCATAAATCCTGTTGGTATTCCAGGATAAGACTTTGACACAGTTGATCACCATAGCAAGTGTTACTATAATCTACATGTAATACTTGTTTTACATTTCTGATCTGTAGGTATTCCAGGATAAGACTTTGACACAGTTGATCACCATAGCAAGTGTTACTATAATCTACATGTAATACTTGTTTTACATTTCTGATCTGTAGGTATTCCAGGCTAGGTCTGCTCCTTACAACATTGATATCTGTAGCAAGTTTTAACATAACTTCCATGTAACCCTGGTTTACATTTGTGATAGGTATTCCGGCCTAGGACTCCGTCTGATGCCATTGATCTCTGTAGCAAGCTACTGGAGTACACTCCTTCCTCTAGGATATCACCTCTTGATGCCTGCGCCCACAAATTCTTTGATGAGCTTCGAGACCCAGGTACAAGGTTACCAAACACACGGCCTCTTCCACCGTTATTCAACTTCACTGCACAGGGTGAGTTTAACCTTTAGAACTTTTTTCATTGAATAACCACAGTCTCTGCACTTCAGTGGCTAGTCGAGCTGAAGTTAACCGCAGTTATTCCCTGAACTTGTCGTCTGAAGCAGACACATCATTGCTAAGGATGGAAATTTTCTTGTATGCATTTTATTGAGTCTACAGTATGATGTAAGAGCCATCCAAAATAGTGTATGTGACCCAGCTAAAGAACCATCAGTATCTGTGAAAGAATTTGTACAAGGGACCAGTGCGTCACTTAATCCACGTTTATGAATCAGCCAAATCTGAAGGAACAGATGCACGCTGTTGCAGTACTATAGGTTGTAAACTCTTATCACTTATATGTAAAGTACATGTAATGGCTGTCTAATGTGCTCCTTCCTGGAAGAAAACTTGTGCATTTTTTTGGTTAAACCTTTTGTGTCTTCATTCTTGTGTCTGCAGAACTAGCAATTAAACCGTCACTCAATGACATTCTTGTCCCTCCTCATGCGCGGAGAGATCCAGTCAGCTCATCTCAGGGAACCAGTGAAAGTACAGCCACTACCAGCGTGGCAGGGTTGCCCATCAGTGGGGCGATAGGAGGAGGGAACTAACAAACCCTGCCCCCTCAATGACCTCTCCCAACACTAATAAGGTATACTTGTAGCACAACATGGGGGTTAAGATGTTCTGTTGGTCTGTTTACTGTCTGATGTTGAAGGAATACACTTTGCAAACCACTCACTGCTGGGACTCATCAGTCTAGCTTGTAGCAAGCACAGGTAAAAATGGAATTGGTAGAATTCCAAGTTACCATAGGAAGTGTAATTGCTGTGCTGCAGTATTTACCGGATAAACCTGCAGCGGCAACAAGTGTTTGCTGAATTAGCTCTTGCTATGGCTGCTAAGTTGTGGAAAAAACTGCAGGTGTGTTAAGTCTAGCATTGGTTGCCCAGATGTTTACTAATGAAATAAATACTAATTTATTCAATGTGTTTCAACATCAGAGAGTCTACAGGTGATGAGATCGGTACTCCCTTAAATTGAAGTATTTCAGTATACATGTATGTACAGACAGTTAAGGCAAGAACTCTGTGTAAAATATTTCTTGTTAAATATGATGGCTTGATTTAATGAAGGGACTACAAGGAAGGGTTGAGAGCTGATCCAAGAAACACAACTATAGGAGGTCTACTTCTGTTGTGAGATTTCATACGTGTATCTCGTTTTGAGAGATGTGACATCCAGTGGGAATGATACATTTATGAATTCAGGAAAAAAACAGTTTCAGAATGGAGTTGCTCTTAAAAGAAAAAAATGATGAAAACTCAATTGAATCATCTAGCAGTCTTGGTTAGTAGCTGGTTTTTAGGTGTTGGTAACGCTTGCTTTTAGCCGTTGTACCATATCATGTTCACCAGCTACACTGTACATGTATAAGTAGTTCCTTGAAAAAAAAATTTGATGATGAAAGATTATGGCATTTTGGACATCCACTATCACCCGTAATAGGTGCTCATTTACTGAAAAACAACCATCATCTGCATCTACAGTGATTTTGCATTGGTTGTTCACAGAAAAGTTTCTATCATGACCGTGTTGCAACTCTTTTTGAGTTCTACTGGATGTTGCAGATCTGGTAGGAAATCTTTCGTTTCACATTGGATTTCACATTGGATGTCTGATTCTGCAACCTTTCCCTGGTCATTATTCCAACTGGTATTCCCTTTGACCCTTCTGTCCATTTCTCATATGGGGAAATGTGTAAATATAGTTTTGAGTATTATAATACATGTATTTACTTTTTCATGGCTGTGGACTGATTGACTATAATTTGAATATTCCTTTTGGTCACATCTACTTAGGTCATAATTATGTACCTTCAGAGCTACAGCTACATGTACATGTACCGTAGGTCTGTTGTGCGTATGTCTGCACACATTTCCAATTCCAAGAGCTTGACAACAGATTCGGATGAAGCCTCAGACGAGTTTACATTGTGATTCCACTCTCACTTCCTATATTGTTTGCTTCAGATGTGCCAATTTTAAACTTCATTGAAGTATTGGTTTTAATTGGAAAAGTATGCATAACTGAGCAGATATTTATCAAATGAGTACCGGGTAATTTAAAGTCAATTCAGAGGGCTTCATTACCTTTTGTGAAGCACCTTGCTGTCATAGATGTATTGAATTGTTCACAGCTTGCACTGCTTGAATACTGTGGTTTTATGATCAACTTCTCTTGTACCTGTAAACTTTGCACTCAATCATTTCATTTTACAATAATCCCAGGTGTATACGTGAAATTGGATGGTTCTTTTGGTCGTACTCTAGGTTTGTGGTTTGTACTCTAGGTTTGTGGGTTGTCTGTCCTTTAGAATCGAGTTAGTTCTGAGTACGGTACCATACGTTTAATTTCTGTGTATGATTTTCCAGGGTCAGTAGTGATCTTGAGTTTGACCTCATTACAGTGCATAGAGTCAGTGTTGATCTTACGTTTGATATCGCTGCATTGACCAGGGTCAGTGTTGATCTCGAGTTTGACCTCATTACATTGCATAGCGTCAATGTTGATCTTAAGTTTGATCTTACTGCATTGACCAGGGTCGTTGTTGATCTTGTTTATACAAAGTAAATGGGAGAGAGCTGGGTTTTCTGTATCAAAGTATTCCCTTTCTGGAACTATGTTATTTTATTCAGTGATCAATTTTAAATAGGGTTGGCGTACAAAAATGTGAAGAAATGTCACCAAGATCTTGTTTTTTCACACACAAAATCTAAAATAGATTTTGCAAGTCATGTTTTTATCGTGTAAGATTTATGGTTGAAGGAAAAATTGTGGAAAAATTTGACTAATTTTTAAATGTCCTGACTGAAACAAGTACCTGTCATTTTTTTTATTGAGAACTACATGTATGAATTTGTGTCCGAGGTCCTCTGACAAGTTGGCAAACTTGTTTTAATTGCATAAAAATTATTTGCTTGTTTATATCAATATTCATGTACCTATAATGACATCACGGTGTTTTGTCAACCATTTCTGTAACCATGATATCCATGTCATAAGTATAAAGGCAAGAGTTTTATACTGTGTGTACAATTGAATGTCTAAATGTTGAAATACCCCATCTCATTGTCGGTCACACTGGAAATTTGAGACACTTGTTTGAATATGACTAATTAATAGAGCATACCACAACATCACTAGCTCACCATTTCATGATTTGTATATTTGTACAGTCAAGGGGATCTTTTTTAGTTTCTTTTATTCTTTAGAAAATTGTAAATTATTGTGTTAATTTCGTTTTTAAGAATAATAACTCAAGTGATTAGCCTCACTTTTGGATGTGGTTTTCACTCGTCCAAGTTTGTCCTCTTGTCTGGTCACTGTTTTGTTTAACTCACTTTATGAATCAATATAATTTCCTAGTGACACTCCCCACCTTATTTAGAATGGATATACACTTGATGGTCCTGAGCAACAAGGTTGCTGTGGTGATTTAGGATATCCATACAAATTAGTTGCCACAAAACGTAAATACAAATAAAACAAACCTACAGTGTAAAGAGAAGCCAACTTGATTGTGGTCACTTATTAGTGTCTGCCCATCTAAAAATTTTTCAAATGTCTCCATCTATTTTCTTTATAATAACACTAAATGTAGCATTGGCAGTTTTATTCATTTCGGAGAGAGAAATGCATGAAAAATACTCATGGGGCCATCAACTTACCCTAACTAATCAGTGTTTGCAACTTGACATTTACCCTGCACAGTGTCCCTGGTTTGGTCAGACTAATTGCAAGGTTTTCCTTCCCTAACCATTTGTGCACTTCTCTCCTTATCCTTGCCACACCTCCATCTCAAGCTTTCTCATATCTAAGCCTGCTTAGTATTACAGTTCACAAAATCATTTCAACAGTGTGTTTGCATTCTTGACAGACAAATATTCACACTTGAGATCTCACGTTTTTGAGCTGAGTTAGGGTTAAGAACCATTGAACTTACAACTTTGTTATAGCAGGAATCGTGCATTATCAGGAAATGAAAACACAGACAAACAAAGGATGGGGACCCAAAGATTTCCTTGATATAAGCAGAATGTTGTACTGCTCTTAATGAAGTTTGACTGTACAGGGTTCTTGAAGTGTTGATATATTGCCTCAAATCTGTGTTTCCCTGGTGGCCCTTGGAAAGTTGGTTTCAGTCTACAAGTTGTACAAAATGTTTCTCGTTAAAAAAAATTGATGAGACTTGAATCAGGTTTCTTTTTCTTTTTTATTGTAATTTTTTTCTGTTAAATGCAGACCCCTGTTATTTGTACATGTAAATCATGGAAAATGCACCAGTTAAACTTCTGGTCATTTTATTATCATTTATTTTTACTAGTGGTACTACATGTATATGTATATTTGCTACCTTTGGCAAAATTGTCTTCCACATGTAATTGTAAAATGCCCCTTTGGTTCCACTGTGTGTTCACACCCAGACGAGAAACATTAATTTTAAAGCAACAAAGACTGCAGTCGATACACTTTATGATGTTCCTGACCTTGTACAGGGATTCTCCGGATGACTTATTTACCTCCATGAGTCTCACTGGGCAGGGATTTGCAGAGCATTCACATTTCTTATCAGTGTAAGTCACAAGTCATACCAAGTCTGGGTAGATACAAAAGGGGGCTCTGTTTATTTAATTCTCAAGCTTTAATGGAAGTTTGCTTACATCCAGACTTCTCTGTCATTGCTGAAGCTATAGTGTTCTTTTATTATGGTGTAACTGACTGGTAATGTTTTCATTTTGGAGATTTTATTTACCCATAAAGAAAACTTTTTTTAAAAGACTGATTTGTTGTGTATAAATCAACTGCATAATACTTTCTACTGTGAAGCCAGTTGATTCTATACAATTGCATACACTGCATGGTAAGCTATACAGTTATCTGCTACATGAATGTGTTTGTTTCCACATTTTCAGGGGGAAATCAGCTTCCTCGGTCCAGGCAACTATTACATATTTATTATATGTTCACATAATACTAGTAACTGGGGCCCTCAATGATATCACAAGCATTTTGAATAATACTTTGCTTCTTATGGGATAGAATGATGGACTTCTTTCAATTTGGTGGTCTTATTTTGTCATAAAAAGAGGATTGACAATTGTTTTGACACTTTTGGGGCTTAGTAACTCAACTCGGAAAGTCAAAACTTAAAGTTTTAGCACTGTTGATTGTTCTTGGTGACAGGTGATCTTTTTTAATATTAATATAAAGATTAAGTGGAATGTGTGATGTAAAATAATTTCATGATCATAAAAATTGAATTACTGTGAATAGCTTTGTGATAAAGTAATACAGGTATATCAGCGAGGCATTTCTAGGGAAAATCAAAGAAATTTGAAATTTTTCCTGTTTTCTAGGGGAAATTTCCAGTTTCCCATTTAAAGCACTGAAGATGCCTATATGTACAGTCATATGGATATAAATTGATGTACATGTATTTATACAGTAAAGGGTAAGTAAAAAAACAGGTGACTGTGTGCAACCAGTAGACTGGCCGAAGTCTGTTGAACATTTCAGTAGCTGATAGCATTCTGACCTGTTTAGTTGAAATCCAGAAATGTATTAAAACACCGAGTTGAAGATAGAGAGGAAAAACAGTGTAATTCCACCCCATTTTCTTAGCAACAGTTGACTGAACTGATTTGTTGAGAGCTGTAAGGATCTCTATCAGTGGATGTTTTATGTTCCTGATTTCACGTTAATGATGTACATACTGCAGTGTGCATGTTCGTACACCAGTCAATACCTCCAAATCTTAAGAATGTCCAATAAATAAATATCAACAAAAGTAAGAACAATCTCATGGAAGAAAATGTTGGAGTCACTGATTGAAGTGTACTCTATGTGTGATGCTAAGCTGGCATACAGGTAGAAACAATGTTTAGTTGACCTGGTGATCTTTTCCTCTACTTACATGTACGATACAAAAAGTCAGGCTTCTGAAGCATATTCATTAAACTGGTGTCTGTAATGTCATGAACCACCTTATAGTTATTTATTACAATACCAATACGGCCACTCTAAAACTGATTTGATTTCTCATTCTGTTGGAATTCATCTATCCTCGTTTCTACAAGGTATTTCTACTGCATCAGTCACAAGTACAATGTAACATTGAGTCAAATTTTTTTTTTAATTATGGGTGCAGGAAGTGTTGGTAATTTTGCAATCAAAGTGTAACAATGCGCATAAAATAATTTAGCTGTTTTCTTATTGATTTATGTCCTGTAGAGGTGTTGGTGTTGGCAGAGGGCACTTTTTTAAACACTGATAAAATGTATTAAATTGTAAGTGTGATATTGAAATGGTCCCTGGTCCAGTGTTGTAGTCAAGACCACAAAAGACCAACACAAGACCTCTAGTCGGCACTCAAGTCACAAGCCATTCAAATGAACTGCAACGAAAGCAATCCTTTGCCATTGTTCACCCAGTTACATGTACCTGCGACTTTTCTTGTGCATGGTCTTGTGATGGTCTCGGCTTCAATACTGCTTTGGTCTAAAGCTCCCTGTTGCCATAAGTTAAACCATATCCCATGAAGGGAATTGTAATAATTGTACAGATCAGTAAGTGTTGTGGACAATGAAAAAGATGTGAATTCTGATTAAAGTGTTGCACTTTGAATATGATGACTGATTTAATTGATACATGTATATGCCCATAGAGGTAGCGCCAACACCACACTACTTGTACAGTTTGTTATTAAGACATTAAAAAGGCTCACCCTTTATTGCTTTACTCTGTCCCCAGAAACTGTAATGGAATATTCCACAATCTATTCTTATACATGGAGGTTCCATTATACTTCTGATTACTCAGTGGATGTAGAAGAGTGGTGAAGGGTGAAGACGTGTTTTGAAAAGAAACAAAAGCAGTTGTGTCATTGTCCTGAATTTATTGGAAGTGGCATGAACTCATCATAACTTCTACTGTGTGCATTTTGTTATACAGAATGATGTGCACATCTTAGAAAAAAGTGTCATGTAACTGAAGTGGTTGAAATCATGAGCCACAGAGTTAACCTATAATACCAAAATATGGTGGATGAACAGTATTGTTCTTCAAAGTAGATACACATTATTGTCAGTCTGTATTTAATTGGAAATTACTGCTTGTCATGTAACTTCTACGGATCGGCAGCGAACTGATGACTAAACAAAGTTACGAAATCAATCCTCCTACCAGATACCTGCATTAAGTTACATATCTAAAACATATCCAAAGTTTCTGTGAATTTTTGTGAAATTTCAACTGCGCCCTGTTTCCAATTACAACAAAGGATATTATGTACATGTAAATTTAATAAAAAAAGAAAACAGCAAAAGAAAGCTGAATGTATATCCACTGCATGCCTGTTTTCAGTCATTGAAAATGGTTCAATAGTGGACTAGGAATGGTTGTACTACAGTAAACTCTGGCTAAGTCGGCACTCTAAGGACTCAAGAAATTATGACAACTTACGCGAATGCCGACTTGTGCTGTAAGTTGTCATTTTGCTGACTTACACATACACATGTATTGCCTATGTACATAATGATTCCTTACACTAATTCAATGGCTTCGATTTACCCTGGTTTATTTCTACCTCCATGGTCGATCCCAGCAAAGTCGTTCTCGATTGTCATCCTCACAGGCTGCAAATTTGACAATTGATCATGTGCCCCTCAGGACGAAGCTAGGATGGCAAGCCACCTGCATATCACATCACGACTAAACAGTGCAGTACATACATGTACGTGATACAATTACGGTACAGAAAACATACACTCCTCCGCACACGCATTGGTTAAGTTCGTTCAGCACTAGTTCGTTTGTTCATGCGTGCAGCACTAGAGGGGTTACTGGTATTGATGTACTCATGCTAGCCAATTATCAACCACGGCCTGTGCTGCTAATAAACAGACATCAGTCAAGCAGTGTGGGCCTTGTCATGTGACACTTCTTGGCAACTTCAGTGAAGGAAACTGATATCGAAGCACCTTTTTTTTTAATGCCGACTTACACAAAGGAATTTTTGTGGTTTTGTGGAAAGGGACTGAGAGAAACATGCCGACTTATACGAAATGAAGACTTATAAATGTTGACTTAGAAATGAAATTTTCAATGCAAATACATTACAGACGATTAGGACTTTTATCAAAAGGCTGACTTACATGATATGAGTTACGTAATGACAACTTAGTTTACTGTATATGTAGATCCATTGACAACAAATAGGTAAGAACATATTCCAAAGCAAATGCTGAAGAAATTGATATTGATTATTTGGGTGCTACTTTACTGCTCCATTAAGATTGCATCCAAGAAATTTCTTGAAGACATTCACATCTAACTCCCTGCAACCTAGTTCCGGGTCTCGGCGAAGTAAAGGACGATAGTAACCTCTCTGTGTCTTGCGACTTCCCTTTGTACGTCTTATCTTTATATGTGGAGGGTACATGTCTTGATAGAGAGCGTTGTTGGCATCTAACCACACCATGTTCTTGATGCCATCACTGGATTCTAATTGCAACGTGTTGAGCTGGACATGAATATAGGAATAGAGGACTCCATTGGTGACAACACACTGGGTGACAAATGGAGTGGGGAGATCCATCTCTTCAATCTAGGCATGAAAGGCAAAATAGACAGCATCAATGAACTTCTTGCCGGTATATAACCCTTGAGGACCCCTCCACTTGAAGTTGGAACAAGAAGGTGTGTTTTAAAATGAAATTGGCAGTCCTTTGGTATGAACTCATATAGGTCTACAAGTTTTTGCACGTTTGATGTGGAGTACGCTGAGTGCATGCAACAAATTTATTTTGGAATGTATGGTCTTCGTGTGCATGCCAAACGTGTGCAACAAACCGGTTGGAAAACTTGGTACCAGTCTTTCTTTTGCCGGTGAGGGTGCACTTCAACTCAGAGCTGAAAGTTTCTCTTAATGCATGTATGATGAATTTTTTTTTCTCATGACAAATTGAATGCCAATCGTTGATATTTTATGAAGACGGCTGCCACTGAACTATAAATCTGGATATTTCATGAAAACTGATGATAAACTTCCTGCACATTGACAAGTTTACCAGGCTTTGCAATAACGAGCAACTTAAGTAAGATTTGAAGCTTAGCATGGTAGAAGTTACTTGAGCTGCGGGTTTGCAGGTACACCATGGAAACAATATCTTTAGACGATGTGTGGTTCTAAGAACAGTTCACACTCATCGGTTCTTCTCAGAATCACACATTTTCTAAAGAGATAGTTCCATGATGAACCCGCAAATCCACAGCTCTTAGAGGAACTTATTTGTAATTATTACACATGTAGTTTTGAAGTGTATACATTGTATATACATCGTATATACATTGTAATGCTGTGGCAGATTGTACTACACTATACAAATGTTTATTGTAGAATGACATTATTTAGCACAATGAAGCGGGAACTCAATAGGCTGGCACAAAATAAATGTATTGATCCCATAGCAGAAGTGAAACCAATGAAGCAAACAGTCAGGGACTGTTCACTTACCCCATGATGTAACCTGGCTCTACTCAGCGCATTGGCAAAGGCAAACATGATTCCTCTTGCATTGATCTTTTCTGATTGTAGCACATTATAGTTTCCATACAGGAACAAGGTGTGTGCATGTGGGAATGCATAACCATCATGGAACCCTGCAAGGTACAGCAGAAATAATTGTATTCATGCTTGTTAACAGGGAACGTCATGCTGCAGAATTTTGAAATGAACAACACTTTTTACTAACATTAACAACAAACCAGTGCTGTTTTGTGTTTATAAGATTTTTGTAGCTTAGAGAATGATTTGTTGACTGCTGTCTGGCAGAAAAGCCCAGAGCAAATCAGAAAGCCATTACAATACGAGTTGTGTTAACAAGAAAAGCATGAATACTGCTGCATTGTGTAGTATACTTGTACTGTCTTTGCCAACTAAATGAACAAATACTATTTGCGGCTTAGTAAAAATGGTGATAGGCAGTGGATAGGAGAGGCTTTCAGGGAGATTGGGGAAGTTTTCAAGCGTAGTTGACTTTCAACGATGTTCCATTTCTGTGAATCATCTTCAGTTATTTATTTCTTTTACACTGATTGACCTCAGAAATAGTTTCAAGTCAATTTTTCTAACCCTAGTTATTTACTTCTCTCTGACTCTACTAAGCTTTTTGTTGTTTCAAGATTCCAAACATTGATACCTGGGAAGTTGTAGTTTTCCTTATACACATAGTAAGTCCTAAGATCAATTGTTGGAGCCAAGGGGAAGAATGTTTCCAATGTATGAGCCTTGGTTCCTTGGATCTCATCTAACCCGGCTAATGGTAGGAGAGGGTCTTTGCATGTCAGCAACATTCCTGGTCGACCTCTCACTTGAAGGATGTTATTTTCTAAAATCGAAAAGATATAAGTTTATTTCAGTTCTGAGTTCCATACATTTCATTAGCTACCCTAGGGCTGACATACATGTATTAGATCCATTCTACAAAACAATCTTTTTCTTGGGGGGGGGGCTCTTCCCAACATTTATTGTTTTTCTAAGCACTGAATACATGTACCCCCTTATGTACTCGGTTATGTTCAAAGGCTGTTAAAGTATTCACGAGCTAACTTGGGTGGGACTCAAACCAACTAGTAATGACCTTCTACTTACTAGTGGAAACATCTAACCACTGAAAAGCAGAGACTGCCGGGGGTCAACTAGCCAGTTCAAGTCTAATAAGCAGAGGGTATTGGGCCAACTCTGGTGGTCTTGAGATGAAAAATGGATATGAAGAGCCTCAATAGGGGCATTTGGCTTGGAGGCGCACTATTTTGAATCAACCGTATTGATTAATCGCACAACATACTACAAATTTGTGTGTTACCTCTTGTCCAGCTGGCACCAACGTAATAATTCATGGCTTGGGCTCTGCTGAGAAGCGTAGGATACTGTGTGCCAAGTAAACTACAAAGTCGTATCAGTGCCATGGTCTGTGTAAAACTGAAACAAAAGATTTGGAAAACATATAGAAATTAAGGAAGGTATCCAAGATTATCACTTCTCTGCTTGAAATTCAACATAAATTCTTTTATCAATTAATTTATGCCATAAACTTGCTACTTTGCATATCTTCAGGGTCATTTTAAGCTCATTCACTTACATGTACATATGGGTCATTCTATAAATTCAGGGTCCAAAAATGTGACATTTTTGTGTCCCTGTTACACCTGACCTGTAAAATTGTAATCTGAAATCTCACTGAAATTCTGTGGCCCCATGCATGAACCTGGTATGCCACATTTTCAAACTTTCTGAATTAGACGCATGAATGTGTAGAGTAATATATCTTTATTTGCTAAAAATCTCAACAGCTAGGGTGGCCTATTTTTAGAAATATAGAGGGCAGTATTATTCTCACCAAACAGAGAGTTCCAAGAAGCCAAACATTTAACTAGATCTTACCCAGTTTCATGCCTGTGTGGCATATCAGGTTCACACATGGGGCCACAAAATTGATTTCAAACTTTATTGGTATTTGGTTTGTAGGTAATTTTCTAAAAATCATCACTCTTGGAAATTAGAGAATGTGTTCTGAACTTACAAAATCACATCAGATGTGACAGGGACACAGCAAAATTGGACCCCTAAGTTACATGTATAGACTGACCCATACATTGAAATTATTTTTTTTTCCAATTCTTCAACTGGTACAATTCTCTAAATGACCTTGAAGCTTTTGTTGGGATGGTCATGATCTTGATATCATATACTAACCTGAATCTTTTCATGGGGATAATCCTATTGGTGGTATCATACTGTCTGCACTGTCTTACTGAATCTTCTAGTTTCTGTTCTATGTCATGGAACTCCACAGAGGCAGAAATGTCCTGAATCTGGTTTGGCATCTGTCACCAAACATAGACAGAATAAAAATGGTTAGATTTGGCATTCAAACTTTAAAAGCAGTTAGAATTTCTTAATTCTTTCTTGACCAAAAGCATATCTTTAGTTTCCCTGGACTCATGATTCATTATTCTTGGTCAGCTGTCGTCCTTCCAATGGAAATGACGTTCTGCTAGCATTTATCGAATACAACGTATGTACCTGTCCATTTCCCATGAGCTTGCTTTTTGTCAGCCAAAGCGCTTGCTTTACTCCTTCTTGTAAGTAGATATCGTGGGTGAATATGTAGGCAACTTGATCATGTTGATGAGGATTGTCAGGTCCTACTGATACTCTGCAGATAAAGATAAATCATGAACAATCTTGATGAAATGACTAAACCACCACACCGAGCTAGCTCGGCCTTTGGCCCACCTCATTTGAGTGTGACATACAAACAACGTGGGCCAAGTTTGATCAAGGTCCATAGTTAACCAGACGTGTTCAACTGATTCTGATCAAATGCACGCTACGTGTAGTCAACGATGGTTGGACAAGTGTAGTCAACTATTTGCGACCAGCTTATTGAGGCTGGTTGCATCATTGGTTGCCATAAATCGTTTTAATAGCACATTGCATAGAGGACTGTCAGTTATAAGAAATATGCCAGAAAAACAGACCATTGTCACTTTCATTCTTGCTTTCTCCTGTTCTCTCCTTCAGCCCAATGACCTGACAAGGATTTACTGGAGTTATTCGCACTTCAACTTCACTGTGCATGCGCTAGGCACAGTACGCAATGATCCAACCACTCCTTAACTAGTTGTCTTTAATCTAACTTACCCATGTATGGTATGGTGTGATTGTTGTTGGTTAGGAAACAAGAGATTGGTGAGTAAAACACTCTGTTTTTAAAAAATAAAATGGTTGGTCTAATGTCTAAGAACCACTGCTATAAAACTGTCAAGATATATACAGGTACATACACAGGTACTTCATGATGGTTCTCACAGCAAAATTTGACTGAAAAAGTGGAATGTGCCTAACCAGTACATTTACATGAATTAACAGGTACCTCAGATTGAGGCTGCATTCAAGAACAGATAGAGTAATGACTCCTTGGCCAAAAAGCACATGGAGATGCCTTTTGTTTCCAGAAGTACAATGTACAAGTAGCAATCTCAAATCATTCACAATGCATATGTGATGAGATTGGCAAATTGCCAAGGTGTTGCACCCTGTATGCGGTGAGCCGAGTGTGGTACAGTGATCACAGTTATATTGTGCATTTTTGTACCTTATACTTACAGAATGTGATCTTCTTTTCAACACTTTTCAATTTCGTTTCTTTATGCAATTGATGTGACCCATAAGTTTTAAATTTTCCTGAATTTGAGCCAAAACAGTTAGGCCTATGTCGTTAATGATCCCAGGTCATTCATGCTACAATAGTGCATTTCATGACCCTGGTATTGCTAATGTACAATAAAATGATCCTAACAGCAGAACAAAATTGGTTGTACTATGACATTTCGTCTGCAGACTTTTTGTCAAATTTTATGCTCTGACAACATGGTGAAGTTCATGTATAAAAAAACCCAATGATGAAGTACATGTATACTGTGACATTGAGTCATTTTCAAAATAATAACATGTTTAAGACAGCATTTATTTTGCACACACATGAAGCTTTACCTGTTTGAGTACTTGGGATGGGTAACAGGAATTTCAAACCGTGGGGGTTGCTCAACAGCAGGTTCCAAGTCAAACATCTCATCAATTACTCGATACAGTGGCTTTTTCTTTTGCTTGTTTTTCTCTATTGCACGCTTTAGAACTTCTGGTCGGTATCCTCGATGTATGAGGAGTTGTGAAGATAGGGGAGGGAGCCATCGTGTGAGGATGATGCCTGTTTGACATATTCTCTGGAATAACGTCATCGTCGACAGCTAAGCATGCGAAGCTAGAGACAAGCAAAAGAAACATGTCAAGTTTTTTAATATCTAGGCTAGCGAGTCTAATGTTTGGGTGATTTGGTCTTTCTTATCCGTCACCACACTAAATTCATAGAAAAAATCCACAAATATTTACCAAAATAATGGAGAAACCTTGTTCTTTTCAACGACATACATGTACATGAAGGGCCTAAATGTACATGTACTTTTCGAGGTGACTTGCATGCAATTTCAAGTCACAATTGTCTGTTGAATTTTTTTTAAATGAAAAAGTCTTGATCCCAGGTGCAGCCATTTTGATTTTTAAAGTGTGGAGCTGTTCTGTCTGGTTCTTTTGGTACCACATTTGTTGGACGCTTTCTTCAAAATGTATAAAAATTGCTCTTGAAACAAATGTGTGTGAAAATGGAAGTGTTGACACTGACAGAAAATGACCCCTGGCCTTAAAATTCATTTTGTCATAACTCTTTTACAGAAGAAGATTTTAGTATCATTTGTAGGCCTAATTGTCATTTAATCATGTTGATAAGCTTTTTAATAACACCCAATTTGTCTGTGAATTTATGAAAACTGCAAAGAGTTTTGACTTCATGTAGACGGACTCCCTACCTACAACACTGTACAGCATTATGATGTAGGCAATTAGGCCTACATAATTCAAAGTTTAGCCTGACATGCCTGAAGCTTGACTTCACCTGACAAAGGTGTACACAGTACAAACTGAGGATGCTAAATTTATTCATTCAAGAAGGACTTAAAGATTCTACAACGGAGGAATTCCTTCCTCCGTGGTCTTCTAATTAAACCTACTTACATCATGTCCATGTGAACACAGTGTACCGGGATCACATGGAAGCTGCCATTATGATAAACCTTCATTCAACAAAAGAGGGCGCTAAACTTATATTTGGAGGGGGCTTGGGGTGCATTTTGGACGTGCAAAACCAAAGGCAACGAGTTTGTTTAGTGAGAAAGACAAAGACTGGCAAAGACGTTAACAAGCCGAATGAACTATGTATTCCAATGATTTATGCACCTCTTAAAAATGAAATATAAATAAAAACTATATAAAAGAAAATGATAAACCATAAAACAAATGTGAATTGTTATTTTTGCAAAGACACCAGAAATTCAAATGATTTGATAGATTCATACGATTGTCTGCGTTGATTCCGTTCGTTTATGCAAATGCACCAACTGTAAAGAGTGCCACGATTGTCACAAATGCAACGACTGCGCCAGATATGTAATGACTGTGCCACTTGCGACGACTGCGGCTGGTGTATAAATTGCATGGCTTGTTTCAATTCATATGACTGTCAAAATTCAAGTGCCTTGGACAGTTGCGAAGACTGTTACGAGTGCAGCAATTGTATAGAGTGTTTTGGTTGCACCGCTTGCAACTGCTGCGTAAATTGTAGCGAGTTAGAAGGAATGGATCACGTGGTGCTCGTAAACGGCAAGCATAAAAAGCTGCGGCACGCGCGAGAAAACGATTCACCGCCGATTCCTCGATTAAACTCGATTCTGATTTATACGAAATTGGATTGATAGGTAAGTGAATACGACGTTGACGTTGAAAGTTTAATTAAAGTAAAAAGCCCGCCCGAGTTAATAAACGCGGCTGAATAAAAATGAGAAAATTTCTGACAAAGCCGGGAAAATCATAACCATGTCAACCCAAGTATATATTATAACTCAGTACTACGAGCGGCTCAATGCCGACAACTACGATCCCAATATCATCTACCGTCCTTTTGACCCGAGTAAATTGAATATTTTAATACACGTGATTAAAGAAGGCACTCACGTGAGTCAATGCAGCTCGCCCTGTTACGGCATAAACCCGCTGTACTCGAGAAAAACGCCGGAAAATTTAGTAGGGCGACAAATTTGCTATTAAATACAACCAACTACTGCGGGCATACTCGATAACATAAATTTAGCCGTTTAGCTGTCTATCGAATCGCGAGCTAACACCGGATCTAACCCCCGTCTAATACCATAAACGCTTATAAAGCCAGTCTCGATATCAATGACCTAAATAAATTAGAATACTATAGCGCCGGCGCGGGTCCGGCCGGTGGGGGCGCCAGCTCGGACCCGCATGGAGTTGGCTGGCTGCCCGCGCTGTGTGCGAACGGCCGCCGGTTTTCCCGCCTCGCGCCTGCGCAGTCCCTGCCGCCAGGCGCCATGTTGGGAAAAGAGCTTGTCGGAAGAGGACATTGTGGTGCTGTCAGTATTGCGACAGAATAAAGCAGAGATTTTGTGACCAGAACAGTGAGTTGCACCAGTGTGTCGTTCTTACAGCGTCGAACCCTGTGCAGCGGGACACGCTACAATACGTCGTTAAACAGCTTTACACGGCAAGCATCGAATGTACCTTAAAATAGATCCATATGCCTCTTTATTTGATCACCGAAAGCTACCCATTGACTTGTCAAATATCGAGAAATTTATGAATGAAAGATGTGACACACAATCTTTTATTTGCCCAAAAGACGTCTATTGCGGACTCACGGTTCACCGTCGTGCGGTGCCAGTGTTAGGTACAAAGTATCGCCATCTATGTTGAAAATTAGAAACGACGGACTAATTTCAAATAAGTCGGCACTGCAAACGTTTAGTGGGTTTGAATCAGAATCCCCCTTGAATTTAAAGGTGGGTTAAATTTGATTAACTAACTTATAAAAATTCAACGTCGGTTATTCCGAGGAATAACTGAGGCTAGTTTCACGTCACTCGTTCCTTAAATAAATGGGCAATTAACAAAACAATGACAGATCAAGAGATTTATCACCTAACTGGAATAAAAGTTACATGGTCGCAAGGCCATCAGAAGATTCCACATGTCCACCCGACACCAAAATGATCAGAGATTATAAACTCATATGGCGCGATTGCGGATTAAAATTTTGCCAGATTTATTCAGACGAAGTGGAAAACATGGGCGGTAAATATAACCAGCGTTTTGTTTATAAAAAACCGAAGTGAAAGTCGAGTAAAGCTTTAAAAGAATTAAACGTTCAATTGACGCATGATCAAGCGCCATTGAATACTAATTAAACCGAATTTAGCGGGCAAGATCTCTAGAGGCAAACCACGACGAGCTTTAATAGCGGTCTGCTACCAAGACGTAACCAGGGAAGCTGAATCAACCATAAGAGACTTATGTCAAATCTCGGATAAGCCCTGGGACATGGCCGTTGAAAATTTTAAACTTTCTGAACAAGATTTTTAAAAACCCGTTTATACTAAAAAGGAGACTCGCACTTTTTACCTAACTGAAAGCGAGCACACGTTTAAATTGAAAGACGAGATAAACAACACTAAGGCGACAAAGTTGTCAGAGTAAAGAATATTTAGTTTGAAGCTGGATATTTTAACGTAACAAACGCTACTGAAATTGAGTGGGATACAAACTTGGACGGTAGGCCTGCGGGGGTCAGTAGCGAAAGACCGCGTGGAATACCTTCAGAGGAAAGAAGGGAAGTAGCCCCAAATTCCGAATTAATAAAAACAGCTGAAACCAGATTGATCCAAGCAAATAAAAGAGGCGCTTTATCCTGAAGAAATCAGAATCACCGCTGATGAAATTGACAGCTAAAGCAAGAGATCACAACTTTAGAAGCGCAGTTAAACCAAAGAAAACCGTTAGAAACGCGGGCTCGTTTAGCATATGATATCAACGAGAAAAAAATTAAATCAGTTTCATTGCTCGAGGGGCAGAGACAAGCCTTGGATGAAATTTATGAAGGGAATCCCCCAACTCGACCTATAACAAACTCCCCCGTACAGCTCACAAGACCCAGAAGAGAAATAACTAAAACACTTTTATTGACGGGGCTAACAGAACCTATATACGATAGACTTCATCCTCGAAGCTCATCTCAACCATTACCCGAGGGTTAAAGAGGAAACATCGTGGTGTCTCCCAGTTATTATGACATGGACTGGTTTCACTTTTGTTAAACTCGATCCCAGGCTTTCTTTTAAGGTTCACTCAGAATCGAAAAGGGTGACTTTGGCCATTACGGACCCCAACCTCAAGTTGCGACTAAATAAAGAAGTGTCTAAGCCATTAAACGTACCCCAAATCAAACTTTTACCCAACGTTATTTATGAAGGAAAGAATGACCCTAACCCATTGAAGCTCGCGTTTATTCATTGCAAACAGTTCACTTCCTTTGGCAACTTTTACAACCGGCAGTCTTTAGACTTGCTAGACGTGATAGCTACCGACCTTGCAACTCAACACCCGAGACGTGTAAAACGCCTAAAAAGCAGTGAATTGACTTTTTCTGTTAAAAACGAGCGAGGTGCGCTCTTGAATAATATCGGCAAAACTTTAATCAAGGTAGACATTTTTTAAAACGTGTATATAATAAAAAAAAAACGACGACAAACGTATACCCGGATTTGGGCAAGTACCCGGAGTTAAACTCGGCCGAACAAGCAGAGACCAAAGTCTACAGACTCAAAAAGATCGAAGAAATCAAATCCCAGATATCAATTAAGAGAACGTGACGCGCGCGAGGCTAGCTACAAAAAGATTAAACGAATACTCACTGCATTCGGTTACGTGGAATACGGTGTAGAAACATTGGGCGTTACTTCGGCAGCCGTCGGAATTCCCGCCATTTTGGGAGCCATTACCGGCCCCGTAGGAATCGTAATGAAAGGCATTGCTATCGGCGCGTTTGGTGCCCACGCTTTGCTAAAATATGCCCGTGGCAGTCTGTCGCACAAAACCAAAAAGTACGATCAAACCCGCGTTCTTGCCCATGCAAAGCTAAACACGATCGAGGAATACGTCTTGCACGCGATTGAAGACGGCGAAATATCGCAAGAGGAATTCGTACTGATTTTATCTGAGCTGAAGAAGATTAATGAAATGAAAGAAAAGATTAGGTCAAATACGACTACAAAATTGAAAGAAAGTAAATCTACGAGCAAAGAAGAATTCGCACGGCAAGTAAATGAAAGAGCAGAAGCACTAGCCAACAAAAGGGTGGCAGTTTTTATTAAAAAAGATCTTATGAAAAAGCTTGGCGGGTAACTTTGCATAAGTCGGTCAAGTACGAAGATAAACCACTCGCTCACCGAGAAGTAAAAAAAACTACCTACCTCCTGTTAAAGCGTAGCGCAGTAAATAAACGCATATAAAATAAACGGGAGCTAACTTGGGTCATTTATCGATCATTGTCAATAAAGACAACTCGTTTACGGCTGAGTTTCCAAATTTAACTCGCGTCTAAATTACTGAAAGTCACCACAGACAAAGCCGTTAATCGCTGAACAACTGAACCGATTTTGTTCTATCAAAATCAATTTAATTTCGTGGTGTATTGCGCGACGACGGCTTGTTGGGTGGCTTTTGACCTTTTGTCAGACCCCAATCCATATGTCTCGGCTTTATTTGATTTCCACGTTTATTACACCGTGTAAAAAATATTTTTCCGACTGCGTGATGCCAATTCCGAGTGACGAACGTATTTTCACGTTCGAGACCAAAGTACGCCATATTTTTAGTTTGCAAAATTGTTAGCCAATTATCTTCAAAATTATGAAAAACGTCCGCGTCTCGGTAACTCATGATTTTGTTTCCCTGTAAGCTGACGTTTATTTCCAAGATTAAGTTTTTCGCCACGTTATTATACACGGTATACAATGAAAGCGAGTTTCGCGGTGCCGGTACGGTTACGTCGTCTTTGCCTAATGCTGGAAATTTGACGTTTAACGTGTGACCTGCTGCGATGGTGCTCAGATGGAGTTCAGCTTTTTAGTGTACTGTTGCGACATTTTCTTAATATAGACGATTTTTAATTTACGTAGAAAATTTAAATTTAGGAAGGATAGCGCAATTAACGATATGCCCGCCGCAAAAACATTTGTTCATATTCCATTAATTTGTTTTGCTTTCGAAACGTTTCATTTTTAATCTCTAAAACCATGTTACCAATATGATCGATATCTGCTCTCGGGTCACCTAGCATTTGCTCGATGTTGCTTAGGTCAGC